TGGCCTTTGTATGTACTTGTACAGTAAGTTACTTGGACTGTGAGTTACGCAGGTGGCCTTTGTATGTACTTGTACAGTAAGTTACGTGGTTGGCCTTTGTGGGCATTCCTGATGTCAATGCTGCTGAGTGCCATGGAGCAGGTTCCAACTCAGAGACCCTGTATAGGGTTTCTGAGGAGTGGCTGGTGATCTTGAACTGCCAACCTTACTGTTCAAACCAACCTTGCAGTCCAGCGCATTAACCCACAGCACCACATCAGGACTCCTGGGTGTCAATGTTAGTGGAAAGGGTATTGATTTGGAAGATTTCTAAGAATTAAATGCAAAGAAGTGGTAGTGTTCTGTGGGTGGTCTGTCTCTACAGTACTTAGCTCCTCCATTCGTATTCCACTGTATTATCTTTTCGGTGGTTCCATTTTAACTGATGAAAAATGTCACTAATTACATCTATTCTAAAGTCTCAGAGTTCATGAAGACAAATATAGGATAATTCATACCTTCAATTAAAGCTACATGACAAAACAAAATGAGCTAATAAACTAAGCTTCCATAGTAAGAGTTCTTATTTTAATAAAACCACCAAAGAGCATATATATCCATATAAACAATAAGCCAAATCCACCACCTTTTATATTTTAAGAGACTGACTTAAAACATATTTTAAACTAATCCTGCATTATTAACATAACAAAGACATCCCAGTCCCAAATGAGGTTATGACCAGAAGCATGATGGTGGTGGTGGTAGTGTGCTATGGAGTCGGTTCTGACTCATAGTGACCCTGCATAGACTTTCTGTACTCTGCATAGGGTTTCTGAGGCTGTAAATCATTACAGGAGCAGAAAGCCTCACCTTTCTCCAGAAGAACAACTGTTAGTTTTGAACTGCTGACCTTGAGGTTAGCAGCCTGATTCTTAACCACTATACTACCAGAGCTTCTAACCATAGGCATAGATGTTAGGATTCATAACACTCATTTTGGTTTGTAAATTCAATTCAATTCATATAGGAAGATAAGTCAAAAGGTATTCTGACAAAATCACAGAAACCTCTATTAAACAAAATGTTATGCCCAGAATTCGGGGTCCCCAAAGACTACCCAGGAGCCGTGTACCGATGCAAATACATAAGGGAAGTTTAATCAAGCTCGAGCCAGGTCTCTAACCTTATCCGACGCATCGGAATAGGGAAAGAGCCCTGAATTCATTGTCTGTAGGGTTTTTATAGAATTTTCAAACAGCTCAGGTTTCTCAGCTTTACAATCTTTGGATTGGTTAACAATTGGCAAACTATAAGATGCTACAGTTTAATTGGTCAGGACTGGTGGTCTTTGTTCTTAGGCTAGGGTAAAGGAAAACATCTGGCCTCTGGCCTTGAGCTGCCTGTCTATTTATACATATATCATTTTCTTGGAGCTAGAGGACGTGTTCAGGCTAATGTACAGAATGGAGATTGACCTTGTTTCTGGAGGGAACTAAAAACTGAGGCCTTGTCTATTTAAAATGCTTTCCTGAGCCTGACTAGAGTTTAGTCAAGCAGTCTCTAGGTAGACAAAATCAGGTAAAATCAGTTTGGACCTTACAAAAAATGTTAAAATTGGGAGCTATTGTTTGTCAACATATCCTCCATCTAGGTTCTATACACTTCTGAAGGTGATGTTTCCTTCTCTCTAACCTTTCTGGGAAGAATTCTGCACTCTTAGATTCACATCATGTCAAAACAACAGATTGGGATCCTCGAGGGATTCAAATGTATGCACAAGCTTTATGTATTTGCTGATATGTCTATTTCTCCATTAGATAATGAGTGGAGGAGAGCAGGTATTACACTTATCTTTGTGTCTAACTACATTTTTTATCTCTAGAAGCCAACTACTTTGTTCAATAAACAGATGCTTTCCCACATAGTAGTCTTGTTTAGCCAATTTATGTACTATAAAAGGCTGTGGAATAATATTAAGAGAGAACAGGTAAATTTGGAAGGTGGCAAGGTTGTGGGAAAATGTGGGAAAGGAAGGAAGATGACATCTATGTAGAGAAAGAAGACAAACCAGAAGTATCTAAAAGCAGGGGTAAAAAGTGTTGAGAAGTTGAAAGGTGATTTGGTGGCCGCTGTCAGGAGACAAATTGGCTTCAATTTAAACTTTCTATAAGGATAAGGATAAGGAGTCCTGGTGCGGTGATTTGGGTTCATGTGCTGGACTGCAATATTGGTTTGAACTGCAAGGTCAGTGGTTCAAGCTCACCAGCCACTCTTCAGAAATCCTATACAGGGCCTTTATGGATTGGAACTGACTCCACAGCACTTTACAACAATAATAAACAATTAAGGATAAAGATACTTTTGTTCCCCAACTTATCAGTGAATTGGCTACTGTCATTCCATTCAGACTTTTATTGAGCACCTAATTCTGAGTCCTGGTGGGGTGCTGCAGGATAATGCGATGGACTGCAAGGTCAGTTTGAGTTGCAAGGTCAGCAGTTCA